ACCTGTCCTTGAGGTAAGCAAACTTCTCGGCGGACTTTACAGTAGCAAAACAATCACAGTGTGGCTTCCATCCACATGCCTTGATTTCAGGATATTTTCGATCTCTTTCTAACACCCGCTTGCGATTTTCTGAGTATCGAAGAATGAAGGCCGGGGGTTCATCAGATCCAGAATCATTGACATCAGTCATAGCAGACTCAACTGTTGCATGATCTCGTCGAGACGGAGAACCAGGTGGATTCGCAAGAGAAGTCAGATCGACTAACTTTTTCTGAGGACGATAGGTAGGACGACGGCGAGGACGAGTATTTTTGACTTTGTTGGAGGAGGCCGGAGTCGATTCATTCCTCATACTAGCCTTGATGTTTGGCTTCTTCAACACTGGACCATCAACTTTGTCTGTGTCTCCAGACCGCTTAGAGCTAGTCGTTGCTACAGATTTCTCATGGAGGCTCGAAATCAACTGGTGCATCAGACATGTTTGAGATCTGAGAAACAAGAGCGATAGGAACAGAAACCCTAGGCGAGACTCAAGTTCGAGAGAATAGAAACTGAAATGACATGAGAGAGCCAAAAGTCTTCAGACAAGACATTAATAGGCGCCAAATTTTTCTGCATGTTGAACCAAGAGCCACTTTTTACTCTACACGCTTCATCAAATCGTTACTAACAACTAGGCCCATGGACCGAAAATGAGATCAACCTCAAACCCAATTTGCGCAAACTAGAACCACAAGACTTATTATATACACAAAAACAACGAAGCCAAACGACTTTGACAAGCCATTGCTAACAAAACATTTACAGAGACACAAAGACCCGAAAACAGACAATGATACTTTGGCAGCCACTATGATTCAGGAGCAGCCTAGAGAAACCAAGAAAGCATCACAAAGTCTTTTTATTTTTGATCAAAATATTCACATACTTATATATATACATATAGACAATGATCCACCTGAAACATCACATGTCTAAGCGTGATGAACTACACCGCAAGACACACAGAAACAACATGAGATTTTCGGAAATGATCAACTCACTAGTATACCAAGGCAGCTATTTCTCAAAGAGTAGCTTTCACACTTAGTGATCTACCAATAGGTTTTGAAGGAGAGAAATGAACAGATGCAAGACTGCAACCTTTTGAGAGATTTTCAGAAACAACCCAACCCAGAGTGCTTTGCACAAACAAGCTTTGCTTGAGACTCTTTGAGTCACAT